CCACCATTCCCGCTGCTGCCACCACCGCCGCCACCGACGCCTCCACCCCCACTACCACTCCCACCGCCACCACCACCACCTCCACCGCCTCCACCATTGCCTCCACCGCCGCCACCCCCACCACCCTTGCCTCCCTTGCCCTTGCCGCTGCGGCGCCTCCCACTAGGAGCAGACGCAGCCCCGACCTCCTCAGCACCAAGGAAGTCAACAGCAGCAGCAGAAGCGACAGAGGGGGCAAGGGGGGAGGGGGAACACCCCTCAAAGAAGGGAGTGCGAGGAGTGCCACGAGAAGCACCTACAGCGACTGCGCTAGTCTCGCTAGTGTGGTCTCACACACGTTGAGCCGCCCCGGTCATGTAGCACGCATCGAACTCGACGGGATGAACCCTCTGCTCAAGGGTCTATTCCAGCATGGATACTCCGTGGACGCAGAGATCGCTACAGCAGAGAAACAGAAGCTGTTACAGTGGGAGAAGGACCTAGCTGTAAGAAAGAGATCTGGAAAGATTTGGGTACCAAACTATGCCCCACTCTGACAGATCTTACTGGAGGAGTTTCACGATGTGGCATACGCGGGACATTTCGGGAGCAACAAGACGTTAGCAGGAATAGCGAATTATTACTATTAGCCCCGGATGGCAGCAGAAGTGCAACAGTTTGTCACTTCATGCGACACGTGCCAGCGGATGAAGAGTTGTCGTTGTCGTTGTTGCCGTTGTTGCCGTTGAACACGTGCTAGCCGCAGCAGCTATTCAGGTACCAGATGTTGTGGTTGTCGTTGTTGCCACGCAGGAGCAGCGCGAGTCACGGCGTCACGATAGTCGCTGTGTGAACCGTGAGAAACTCTTCTTGCTTGCGCCATCCTAGGGGAATCGGTCGCTAATCATGGCGGTGAAAAGAGCCTTCCCGCAGTTGGATTGGTAAATTCCAATCCTGTTTGTCTTCATCTTCGTAGTAGTAGTGGCTGTCGGTAAAGGGATTGTTTCGATCCACTGCAGGTTGAAGTAGTTTGCCAGCGGGCTCTTCATCTCTGACAAGCGTAGTAGGTCGTGCACAGCGGCGCGTTGCCATATTTGCGATTACGTTCCTTGTTCCTCCTGTCTAAGGTAATTGTGTCTTCAGCTGCTGCTGTTGTGCAGGTGGACGGGGAGCTCGAGGTTGAGACTGACGAACGTCTTGTCGGCTGACCCAGTTGTTGTTTGGGTGGCGATTGTTGGACTGGAATCTGCATCGGTCTGTTGAATGTCCGGAGACTTTGCAAATTTTGCAATAATGGCGCCGGGGTTGTTGTCGCTCTTCACGATTGTCAGCGTAGAAGGTGAGACGCTCTCGTTGCGCCGCCGAGCTTGTCTTGCTCGAGTCCATGATTTGTTGTTCAGTGAGAAGTGCAGCTTCCGAGATTGTCCCCCTTTGTCGGAGTAGCGCTTTGCTAATCTTCCACTTAGGCCCAAGTCCTGCGAGCACAATGTTGACGAAGATCTCTTCCGAAATCGTGCTCCCGTGCTTCGTGATTTGATCACGGATGTTCCGACTGCGATTAACGTATAAATTTGCTTTCTCCCCGTGCCCCATCTTGGTCTCCATGAGTTTTTGCAAGAGCCTGCTGGAGGTGACTGAGTCCTTCGGCTAATATACCTCAATGAGGTGCTTCCAGGCTTCCAGCGCTGAAGCGGCGCTCTCTTTGTAGGAGCGGATGCCGAGTTGCTCCGCGAGCGTTATATTCATTAGCAGCACGCTGTACGCTATCAGGGACTCGCTGTAGTACTGAGCCCGGGCGTCTTCGGTGTCGTCCACTGGTTCAGGATAGGAGCCGTCGAAGTAATGGTATATCTGTACTATCTGTAGGAGGAGCTCTAGCTCAAAACTCCATGTGTATAAGTCCTTGTCGTCAAACGCGGTGCTTGTCTTGATCTTAGAAACGTTGAAGAAACATGCTTGCACGGACGGGGGGTTGTTGGTGTTGAATTGTTTGTGTCGAGGGATAAGGTGCGTGGGGCGGTTTCACGGCCATTTGCGTCTGGTTGACCAGGTTGTGCTGGTTGCGAGGATGTTCCCGCGTCGCCATTCCGCAATGCTTGGAGATCTTTCTCTATTGTTGCTGGTCGTTGAAACAGTTGCTCGAATGCAACGGTGCTAATCGTAGTTGTCGCCTCGTTTTTCGCAGCTGGTTTGGCTTGGCCTTCAGTTGTTAGGTTCGTTTGGCCTCCGGGTCCTCCGGCCATCTTTACTTTGGAGCGTGTGCCGCTTGCCAGCTTTGGTTCAGCGGATTTTACGGAATTAGGGATGCGAAAAATCCATGAGTAGCTCTCATACCATGTTACAATCTTAAACATGACTTAGCCAGGGATCGGCTCACGGTTGTTTGCAGGTGGTGTTGCAGCGGAAGTGTTGACCTCAGGTCAGAGTGAATGTAAATACCTGAGATGATAAAAGCATGCATACATCGAGTTTATATAGGAAATACAAAGGAATGCGAAACGACTTAAACTAGCCATGTACTCTAAGAGGTACATACCCTTATTACATCGCAATTCAAACCGTGCGGGCAGTGCCCTAGATATCAGACTTTAAAGTCTGATTCAGAGTCCGTTCAGACTTTTTTTTTGTACCTAGTCTGAACTCTAAGAAATTTTTTATGTACCTTGTCTGATTTTTAGAGGTTTTTTTTATGAGTTTGTTAGAATCTAGCAGCAGGAATGATGAACTAACAGCATGCAGGAGTACAAGTAGGAAACCCTAATTGGGTTGTACCCCATATGGGCTACCCCACTACAGCCTAGACAATATGCAGCAAAAATGTTTGACACACCCCCATAGGCAAAGTGGGGGAGAACAAGGGGTCACACGACCAATCAAGAGACACAAAGCAAGCTCAGGGTGGATCTCAACGTCACCACACATTCTGAGCACAAGCAAAGGGCCGCAAGGCCAGTCCACATGCAGAGATATATATAAGCAACAAGAGCAGTACAGTGATCAATACCTAGCAAGAGCAAGCATGCAGGTATAAATATAGAGCACAGTACACACAAAAGACTACAGCAAGTGTGGAAACGTAGGCACAAGGCCTAACAAAGTACAAAAGCGCTGATGATCACCAGACGGAAGTGCCTTGGTGAATATATCAGCAGTGTTGGCCCGAGTGGCCACGTGTGCAAGACGAAGCTGACCACGCTGCTGCAACTCTCGAGCCAGAAAGTACCGCAGAGCGATGTGCTTCGTTCTGTGCTCCAGTCTGTGCTCCTCACACAAGGCAATGGCAGCCTTGTTGTCGACGTACAGCACTGGAGGAGAACTAGGCCGCTCTCCCAGGTCGGTCAGCAGGTAGGTGAGCCAGCGTAACTCCTGAGCAGCCATGGCGGTGGCGTAGATCTCAGCCTCACAACTGGAGCTGAGAACAGAAGACGAGCGAGTAGAACGCCAAGAAACAAAACCAGAGCCAAGGCTGAAAGTGTAACCCTGTGACGACCGCTGAGTAGCCTGGTCGTCAACCCAAGAAGCGTCTGAGTGCCCAGTGAGGACCACCTCTCGCCGTCCTCCAAGCACGAGCCCCATGCCCGATGTACTGCACAAGTAGCGCAGTACCCTCTTCGCAGCATCCCAGTGCACCTTTCGGTGCCGACCAGGAGCCACGTAGCGAGCTAGAAGGCCAAGAGGGTACGCAAGGTCAGGACGAGTGCAAGTCATCAGGTACATGAGGCAGCCCACTAGCTCTGGGTAAGGACCACTCGGCTCTACGGACTTATCCGAAGGCAGAGCTGAGAGCGAGTGACCTATAGCCAGAGGAGTGGCCTGTGCTGAGGACCAGGTGAAGCCGAAGCGCTGAAGGACCTGCTGCACCATGTGTGACTGAGTCAGTGTGATGGTGCGGCGTGCTCGGTCCCAGGTGATCTGCAAGCCAAGGTAGCTGCGCAGCTCACCCAGGTCTGTGCACGTGTGTCTCTTCTGCAGCTCGGACTTCACCAGGGCGAGGGCCTCAGTGTCAGCAGTAGCAAAGACCAAGTCGTCGACGTACACGAGGATATAGAACGGCGGCAGCGAAGTGTCGGTGCGTAGAAACAGTGAAGGGTCAGCAGTCGAAGGCGCAAACCCAAGAGCCGCAAGGGTAGTCCTCAGTGTGTCGTGCCACTCACGGGGTGCCTGGCAGAGACCGTAGACTGGCCGGCGGAGGCTCCACTAGGTACCAGGAGGAAACGACTCAGTGAAGCCAGGTGGGCGGCGCAGCCAGATCTCCTCGTGCAGGCTGCCCTGTAGGAAAGTTGTGCTGAAGTCAAGGGAGTGAAGCTCGTAGTCACGCTGAGCGGCAACGTGCAGCAGCACCCGAAGAGTAGTCATCTTCGGGGTAGGGGAGAAGGTCTGGAAGAAGTCAACTCCCTCTCGCTGACTGAAGCCTCGAGCAACGTAACGCGCCTTGAAGACAGGCGGAGAACCTGGCGGCCGCTTCACCCTGAAAATCCACATGCCATCAACGATGTTCGCCCCGGGAGGGGGAACCTCATCGACGTAAGTGCCTGTGGACTTCCAGGATGCCATCTCTGCGTCCATGGCTGCCTGCCACTGAGAGGAGTAGGGACCCGCGATCGCCTCAGCGTAAGAGCGCGGTGTGGGGATGTCTATAGCATCCGGGTCTCCCTCAGGGGCAAGTAACAAGACTAGCAGCGTAGTCTAGACGACATGCAGCAGCAAAGTCAACAAGCTCAGCGACCAGGGCAGACGCAGCAGCAGACTCAAACGACGGGTCAGTGACAACAATGGCTAGCAGACGCGTGACAGTAGGGTGCTCAGCACGAAACCGGTCAGACTCAGGGTCCGCGACGTCAGGCAAAGAGGACGCAGGGGGAGACGGAAGAGGAGTACGCTCCGGAGTAGGGGACCGACGCAGGGCTACAAGGCGTGTGCCGGGGACAGCCGGCTGACGCGGACGAGGAACACGACGACCGGTACGACTAGGACCAACAGGCGAGACAGGACGCGACGCAGGCTCACGACGCTCAGCAAGACTACCTGTCTGTTCAGTGTAAGGAGAAGGAGCAGGCAGCGGTGAGCCAGGCTGTAACGGAAGACTAGTAGACGACGGGAGAGTAAGAACCTGACGAAGAACAGAGTCAGGCGGCGGCAGAGACGACGGAGACGGCGGAGCGAAGAACAGTCGTGTCGGCGTAGCTGCACCAGTACCGGCAGCTCCAGCAGCTCCAGTACCTCCAGCAGCTCCAGCACCTCCAGCAGCTCCAGAAGCTCCAGCCCCAGAACCGACACCTCCAGGCCCAGGGTCTCCAACCTCAGTGCCGCCAGCAGCAGCACCCCCAGAACCAGCACCTCCAGTCCCAGGGTCTCCAGCCTCGGTGTCTCCAGCAGCAGCACCTCCAGACGCAGCACCCCCAGCCCCAGCAGCTCCAGTACCTCCAGTACGAGCACCTCCGGGACCAGCGACTCCAGCACCTCCAGTAGACAAAGTACCAGCACCACTCCTAGCTCCAGGGACGTCAGCAGAAGTACCTCAAGCAGCCGAGCCCCGGGCTCCAGCAGCGCGACCCTGACGGCGACCGTACCAGTCGTGCAGCTGCTGCGAGGTGAGAGGCACACGTGGACGAAGGCAGCTACTCCAAGGAGACCGCGCAACAGCAGACTCTGAACCTCCAGCGCCAGCACCCTCAGCAGCTCCAGCGCCACCAGCACCAGGACCTCCAGCAGCTCCAGAACCTCCAGCGCTCGCACCCTCAGCAGCCCCAGAACCACCAGCTCCAGCGCCACCAGCACCAGGACCTCCAGCAGCTCCAGAACCTCCAGCGCCCGCACCCTCAGCAGCCCCAGAACCACCAGCTCCAGCACCTCCAGACCCCTCACACGCAGGCTCAGCACCTCCAGGCTCCACACTCTCAAGCTCCGCACCCCCAGGCTCAGCACCCCCAGAAGCAGCACCCCGAGCAGGACCACCCCCAGTAGGACCTGAGTCACCAGTGACCTCGACCGGCGCAGGGAAGGGAGGAGGGTCTACCTGAGACACACCTGAAGGAGCAGGACCGGGAGCGGGGAGGGGGTCTACCTGGGGAGCACCTGGAGCGAGGAAGAGCGGCGGGGGAGGGAGAGGGGCAGTGCGGTAGGGGAAGAGACGGTAAAAGGGAACCGACTCATCGAACGTGACGTCCTGAGACGCAAAGACACGGCGCGAGGTGGGGTGGTAAAACTGCCAACCAGGCGCGTCAGGGACAAAGCCAAGGAAGACACAGAAAACAGCACGGGCGGAGAGCTTGTCCGCGGTGGTATCGCGGACAAAGGCACGAGCACCCCAGACCCGGAAACGCGACGCATCGCCAACCTTCCCCGTCCACAGCAGCGTGGGCGAGGTCTCCGGCAAGGAGACACGGGGCCAGAGGTTGAGCTGATGCGCGGCGTACCGGACCGCAAACGGCCACAGAAAATGGGGGGCAGCCGCATGGATCATGGAGGTACGAGCGACCTCCATGACTAAGCCAATGCGGCGCTCAGCAACCCCATTCTGCTGCGGAGAGGCCGGAAGCGTGAACGACTGGGTGATGCCGTGCTCCGCACAGAAGGCTGCCAAGAGGTCGGAGGAGAACTCACCACCTCTGTCAGAGTGCAGACGCAGGACGGGAAACTCCGTCCCGAACCGCTCGCGGAGCTGGAGACGGGCAGCGCGGATCCAAGGGATCAAAACAGCAGGGACCTCCCCCTTGCTGCGCAGGGGAAAGACCGTGGTGTAACGCGTGTAGTCGTCAACAACCAGCAGGAAGTACCGCTCGTGGCCCTGTCCACGGACGCGGGCTGGGCCCCACACGTCCAGGTGGAGAGTCTGCAGGGGAGCCTCTGTGGGAGGGAACGAGGAGGAGTGAGGAGCGGCGCGCTACCGCCCCTCGACGCAAGGAATGCAGGGCGGCGCAAGCGAGGGAGGCAGGGCAGGCAAAGACCTGGGCAGACCAGAAACCAGGAAGCGAGAGTGCATGCCACGAAGGCGCTGCACCGAGGGGTGACCAAGGCGGTGGTGCCACAGGAGGGTCTGGTGCGACAAAGCGCGACACTCGCAGGGGGCCGTCGGCTGACCTGACGCAGACGCAGACGCAGCTACCTGAGGAGACTCAGTGGTCAGGGTGTACAGACTCGAGCCAGGCGCACGGGAAAACGTGGCCAGGTGTCGGCCGGTCCGAGCACACGTACAGTGAGTCACTCGCTGACTCGCAGGAGTGAACTGGTGAACCCCCCGATCCTGGAGGTCAGCTCCACTCACCAAGTTCGTAGAGAACGAGGGGAGGTAAAGACCTGACAGCAAGCCAGACGGGGCGGCCGGACACGGCAGAACCGTGGAGTAGTGGGCAAGGACTGGACCCCCGGAGGGGTCCGCCAGGGAGACTGGAACCGGCCGACTAAGCGGCGTGAGTGTGGTACAGTCGCGAAAGAAGGAGCGGGAAGCACCTGAGTCAAGCGTGAAGGTGTACAAGGCCGCAGCAGGCGCAGAACCAGAGAGAGCAGACTCACCAGCACCTGGAGCAGGAGACGTACCGGCACCTAGAGCAGCAGCCTCACCAGCACCCAGAGGAGGAGACGCACGAGCACCTAGAGCAGCAGCCTCACCAGTACCGGGAGCAGCAGGCGCTATACCAGGGTCAGGCGGGACGCACAGGTAACAGGCACGGTCAACACTAGTAGGCAATGCATACATGGCAGTGAGAATAACATCATAGTCAGGAGCAAAGATATCTACCCTCTGTCCAAGCAGCTCCAGCCAGTCGGGGAGCTCAGCCTCGTCGCCAAACACTGTACGCCAGTCGTCGCTCAGACGGGCGAAGCAGCGGGACTGTGTGTGACCAAGCGTCCCGCAAGGCTGACCAACCCGATCACCTGTGCGAATGACGTACTGGCAGCGAACTGTACGCGTAGACCTGCTACACTGAGCGTACCACTCGTGGAGCTGCCGGGACGTAAGTGTCTCGCGTGGACGCCGCTGCAGCTGTAGCTGGCCACTGCCAGACGCTCCCAACTGACCAGCTCCAGGGGGACAGCTACGACGGCTACCGCGACAACCCCAGCTAGTATACCACTCACTAAGCTGCTGGGGCGTGAGAGACTCACGTGAACGTCGCTGGAGCTGCATCTGGCCACCTGCCAGTAGCAGTAGCAGCAGTAGCAGTAGCACGGGCAGGTAGGCAGGCCGGCAGGCAGGCAGGCAGACAGGCAGGCCGGCAGGCAGGCAGGCAGGCAGGCCGGCAGGCAAGCAGACAGGCAGGCCGGCAGGCAGGCAGGCAGGCAGGCAGACAGACAGGCAGGCCGGCAGGCAGGCGCTCACCAAAGGCTGGAAGAGCAGGCGCTCGCCGGGCGAGCAGGGCCGGCGCTCGACGGGCGGCGGCCGAGTAGGCGCACGACAGCGGCGACGTCGGGGCCGCAACACCGGGTGCAGAGTAGGGCCGAAGCAGCTGCAGGGCGGGGCCGCTTCATCGGCAATTGCAGGGTGGGGCCGCGTCAGCGGCAGGTCGGGGCCGTGGCAGCTGCAGGGCGGGGCCGCATCAGCGGCAGGTCGGGGTCGTGGCAGCTGCAGGGCGGGGCCGCATCAGCGGCAGGTCGGGGCCGAGGCAGAGGGACGCGCGCGGCTCGGCGCGGGCTGCGCTGACAGCGCGCTGGGCTGCTGCAGGCCGCGCGCGGCCGCGCTAGGCAGTAGCGGGCCGCGCGCGGCTCGGCGCGGGCTGCTGCGGGCCGCGCGAGGCAGTAGCAGGCGGCGCGCGGCTCGGCGCAGGCTGCTACGGGCGGCGCGCGGGCCTCGCGAGGCCGTAGCAGGCCGCGCGCGGCTCGACGCGGGCTGCGTGGGCTCGGCGCGGGCTGCGCGCGGCAGCAGCGGGCTGCGCGCGGCTCGGTGCGGGCTGCGCGCGGCTGCAGCGGGCTGCGCGCGGCTCGGTGCGGGCTGCGCGCGGCTCGGTGCGGGCTGCGCGGGCTCGGTGCGGGCAGCGCGCGGCAGCAGCGGGCTGTTCGCGGGCCTGAAGGGCGTGTAGGGGCGGCGCGCGGGCCTTACGGGCCTCTAGGGGCAGCGCGCTGGCCTAAGGCAGCGCGCTAGCCTAGGGCAGCGCGCTGGCCTAGGGCAGCAGGAGGCAGCGCTAGGGCTGCTGGACGGCTCGCGTAGTGCAGCACAAGGCAAGGCAAGGCAGGCAGGTACGTGGGGTAGCGCGGTAACCGCAGTGGTAGGTGGGCCCGAAAAAAACGGTCCTACGGACCTTAGTGCTCTGAAACCATGTTAGAATCTAGCAGCAGGAATGATGAACTAACAGCATGCAGGAGTACAAGTAGGAAACCCTAATTGGGTTGTACCCCATATGGAGCCTCAGACTTGTATCGGGGGTACACTCTGCGCGCTTATCGGAGAGAAGATTCCTGGAAGTTTCCTTTCAATATGCCCACTTCCGAGATGGCAGTGGAGTGCCTGGACGTGAGCAACGCACACTTCAACAGCTGGGACATCCGAATACACTCGTTCGTCAAGAATATCTTCCAGTTACTCTGAGGAAATGGTTGCGTGATTACGGGATTTTTTAGGACAAAATCTCGTCACGTGTAAGTTATCGCTAATGTATTGCAAAGAATAGGAGACTTTGATGCTGATTCGCTGTAAAAACATCTGGAGCACGCACTGCTGTGAAATTGAGAAGGTCCTGATTCGTAGTGAAAGTTTCGTGTGGCACTACCTGATGCTTACACGCCACGCCAAGCAACAGTTTCTGCCTACTGACTGCCAGCTCAGCTGCGTGGCACTTGGCCCACCTGATACAGATGGGGTGAACGATCGCATCGCTAGAAACGCAAATCCAGAATTGACAAAACTGGCACACGGGCGATAAAATGGGTACAGAGCTGTAATCACACACACGACAAAACGAAATGAGATCAGCAGAAACAACCATGAGCTGCACGTGACAAAAACACTAGAACGCCGCCGACATGAGCAGTGGCGATGCACGAGCACGTTGCCTGATGCGTTGGTAGGCTGTAATCAGCTTCACTGCTATTATTACTATGCTTTTACGAAACTGCATGAACATCTTAAAATTTGAAGTAACTCTGATAGTTCAGACAAAAAAGTAGATTGTGCTTGTCTGAATTTTCAGACTAAAAAAAATAGGTAACTCTGACAGCCAGACTAGGAAGAGGGGTGTACTCTGAGGCGTCAGACTACCTCAAAACGAATCTAGGGGCCTGCGTGCGGGGCAAGAACCTGTTTCAAACCTGTTCCCGCTCTTTTCACTTCAAATGTTTATGCCTGCATCGGTCTCGAATCTCGATCTGATGGTTACTGGTGTCGCTTCGATTCTTCTGACTCCTCGACTTCGTACTCGATAGAGTCGGTCGGCCCCTACAGCGTACAAGAATGCGTTCTCTTCTCACAAAAGTTCATACGTATCTCAACAAGCACCAAACGGTGTGATACTCCACATCTGGCGTGATTTTCTCTCCTACAAATTCGCTTTTCTAATCACCGACTTGTTGAGCAATAATCAAATAATCTACCTGGCTCTGTGTTATTTACAATTCACCGAAAATTGCGTGACATTCCTGACGATTGAGTGTATTCGGGTGTCACAGAGGCGCAGCGCGCTTTGCTAACGTGCTGGAACCCTACTGCCCCCCTTGGAGGTGGGTATATCGAGCGTAGACATTCTAATTCGTCAGACTGATCAGAGTATTTAGTCTGATAGTGTCAGCCCTGACTGACGACTGCTCTACAGAGTCTCATCTCGTTTTGTAGAGTGGCTACCAACAGAGCGCGAGCCATGAGGTTGGCCACTTGAAGTGCTTGTACTCCAGCTTGAGCTCATAGAGGCCTTGTTTGGGTCCCCTCTTGTACACTACACACCCAACTTTTGAGACGTCTCAAAAAGCAAGTCATGATGCTGGATGCGCAGAGTGCTTGTACTCGGGCTTGAGCTCGTACAGGCCCTGATTGGGCCCCCTCTTGTTGTACACACACATGTCACCCAACACCTCCTTGAGAAATTGCTGTGTGGGGCAAGGGAGGGGAGGAGGTGGGATTGTGTGTGTGACACGGGTAAGATGGCTGGTAGCAAGGCACATGAAAGGCACTGGACACATGGGCCCTTGTCGTACACACACATGTCGCCCAACACCTCATTGAGAAATTGCTGAGGGAGGGGAGGAGGGAGAGCAGATGCACATACATAGAGTCAGGATGGTTACATGATCGGCATAGGGCGCATGAGCTCTTGTTGTACACACACACGTCGCACAACCCCTCATTGAGAAATCACTGCGCGGGGCAGGGAAGGAGGTAGAATTGTGCGTGTGACATGAGTAAGATGGCTGGCAGCAAGACACATGGCACATGGCACATGACACATGTGGCTGCACCTCCGAAATTGCTGCGAGGGGCAGTGAAAGTGCATGGGGCCACAATAGGGCCACTCCCTCACAGGGAGGCATCCCCTCACCTATAACTCTCGAGTGGCATCCCCTCACCTATAACTGTTGAGTGGCATCCCCTCACCTATAACTGTTGAGTGGCATCCCCTCACCTATAACTGTTGAGTGGCATCCCCTCACCTATAACTGTTGAGTGGCATCCCCTCACCTATAACTGTTGAGTGGCATCCCCTCACCTATAACTGTTGACTGGCATCCCCTCACCTATAACTGTTGAGTGGCATCCCCTCACCTATAACTGTTGAGTGGCATCCCCTCACCTATAACTACTACTGACATCCCCTCACCTATAACTGTTGAGTGGCATCCCCTCACCTATAACTGTTGAGTGGCATCCCCTCACCTATAACTGTTGAGTGGCATCCCCTCACCTATAACTGTTGAGTGGCATCCCCTCACCTATAACTGTTGAGTGGCATCCCCTCACCTATAACTGTTGACTGGCATCCCCTCACCTATAACTGTTGAGTGGCATCCCCTCACCTATAACTATCGAGTGGCATCCCCTCACCTATAACTGTTGACTGGCATCCCCTCACCTATAACTGTTGAGTGGCATCCCCTCACCTATAACTGTTGAGTGGCATCCCCTCACCTATAACTGTTGAGTGGCGTCCCCTCACCTATAACTGTCGAGTGGCGTCCCCTCACCTATAATTGTCGAGTGGCATCCCCTCACCTATAACTGTTGAGTGGCATCCCCTCACCTATAACTGTTGAGTGGCATCCCCTCACCTATAACTGTTGAGTGGCATCCCCTCACCTATAACTGTTGACTGGCATCCCCTCACCTATAACTGTTGACTGGCATCCCCTCACCTATAACTGTTGAGTGGCATCCCCTCACCTATAACTGTTGAGTGGCATCCCCTCACCTATAACTGTTGAGTGGCATCCCCTCACCTATAACTGTTGAGTGGCATCCCCTCACCTATAACTGTTGACTGGCATCCCCTCACCTATAACTGTTGACTGGCATCCCCTCACCTATAACTGTTGAGTGGCATCCCCTCACCTATAACTGTTGAGTGGCATCCCCTCACCTATAACTGTTGACTGGCATCCCCTCACCTATAACTGTTGACTGGCATCCCCTCACCTATAACTGTTGAGTGGCATCCCCTCACCTATAACTGTTGAGTGGCATCCCCTCACCTATAACTGTTGAGTGGCATCCCCTCACCTATAACTGTTGACTGGCATCCCCTCACCTATAACTGTTGAGTGGCATCCCCTCACCTATAACTGTTGAGTGGCATCCCCTCACCTATAACTGTTGAGTGGCATCCCCTCACCTATAACTGTTGAGTGGCATCCCCTCACCTATAACTGTTGAGTGGCATCCCCTCACCTATAACTGTTGAGTGGCATCCCCTCACCTATAACTGTTGAGTGGCATCCCCTCACCTATAACTGTTGAGTGGCATCCCCTCACCTATAACTGTTGAGTGGCATCCCCTCACCTATAACTGTTGACTGGCATCCCCTCACCTATAACTGTTGACTGGCATCCCCTCACCTATAACTGTTGACTGGCATCCCCTCACCTATAACTGTTGACTGGCATCCCCTCACCTATAACTGTTGAGTGGCATCCCCTCACCTATAACTGTTGAGTGGCATCCCCTCACCTATAACTGTTGAGTGGCATCCCCTCACCTATAACTGTTGACTGCCATTCCCTCACCTATAACTGTTGAGTGGCATCCCCTCACCTATAACTGTTGAGTGGCATCCCCTCACCTATAACTGTTGAGTGGCATCCCCTCACCTATAACTGTTGAGTGGCATCCCCTCACCTATAACTGTTGAGTGGCATCCCCTCACCTATAACTGTTGAGTGGCATCCCCTCACCTATAACTGTTGAGGGGAACTGTTGAGTGGCATCCCCTCACCTATAACTGTTGAGTGGCATCCCCTCACCTATAACTGTTGAGTGGCATCCCCTCACCTATAACTGTTGACTGCCATTCCCTCACCTATAACTGTTGAGTGGCATCCCCTCACCTATAACTGTTGAGTGGCATCCCCTCACCTATAACTGTTGAGTGGCATCCCCTCACCTATAACTGTTGAGTGGCATCCCCTCACCTATAACTGTTGAGTGGCATCCCCTCACCTATAACTGTTGAGTGGCATCCACTCACCTATAACTGTTGAGGGGAACTGTTGAGTGGCATCCCCTCACCTATAACTGTTGAGTGGCATCCCCTCACCTATAACTGTTGAGTGGCATCCCCTCACCTATAACTGTTGAGTGGCATCCCCTCACCTATAACTGTTGACTGGCATCCCCTCACCTATAACTGTTGAGTGGCATCCCCTCACCTATAACTGTTGAGTGGCATCCCCTCACCTATAACTGTTGAGTGGCATCCCCTCACCTATAACTGTTGAGTGGCATCCCCTCACCTATAACTGTTGAGTGGCATCCCCTCACCTATAACTGTTGAGTGGCATCCCCTCACCTATAACTGTTGAGTGGCATCCCCTCACCTATAACTGTTGAGTGGCATCCCCTCACCTATAACTGTTGACTGGCATCCCCTCACCTATAACTGTTGACTGGCATCCCCTCACCTATAACTGTTGACTGGCATCCCCTCACCTATAACTGTTGACTGGCATCCCCTCACCTATAACTGTTGACTGGCATCCCCTCACCTATAACTGTTGAGTGGCATCCCCTCACCTATAACTGTTGAGTGGCATCCCCTCACCTATAACTGTTGAGTGGTGTGAGAATAAGAGTTGGAAGAGAAGTTGTTGTTGAATTGAGGAGAATGGGGGTTTACATAGGGAATGGGTTGGATCCTAGCCTAGGTGACCATTATTGGACCCCACCCATGAAGTTGGGTTGGGGGATTATTGGTGGGGTCCAATAATGTTGGCCAAGTTGGGGTTGGGCCAACATTATTGGTGTGAACCAATAATTCTACCCAACCCAACCTTTGGGGTCCAATAATTGGACCAAGGTTGGGTTTCCAACCTACAAATTGGGTAACCCCTGCTTGAACACCCAAACTAAGTTTGGGTGCTTATCTCTAGCCTATCCTATAACATCTATGCAGGTTACAAGAGAAGATAGATTCTAACACAACCCCTTAACCTGCAGAGATGTGGAAAGGCTTGAGGGAAGCAACCCCTGAATCAAGGCGCGCCTGGGGGAGCGAGGCCGATGAGGCGGAGAAGAGCAGAGTGCGCAGGGCGAAGAAGTGGTTTGGTGAAGATATCTGCCAGGTTGGCTTCAGCGGCGATCTTGCGAACGGCGATGAGATTCTGTTGGACAAGGTCACGGATGAAGAAATAGCGGAGCTCAATGTGCTTGGAGCGACCGTGAAAAACGGGGTCTTGGGTGAGATGGATGGTGCTGGCATTGTCACACCAGAGGGTGGGGCAGCGCTGGGGAACACCAAGCTCAGCTAGGAGGAAGCAGAGCCAGCGGGACTCTTGCGCGGCCATGGTGCCAGCATAGAGCTCAGCTTCACAGGAGGAGAGGGCGATGGCGGAGGAGCGAGTAGAGCGCCAGCTGATGAGGCCGCTACCGAGGGTGAAGCCATAGCCTTGGGAGGAGCGGCGGTCTGGCTGGCAGTCTGCCCAGGAGGAGTCGCTGAAGCCAGAGAGAAGGGGGGGGGAAGATCCACCCAGTGTGAGAGCGTGGTCCCTGGTGCCACGAAGATAGCGGAGGACTCGCTTGGCGGCAGTCCAGTGTTCCTCAGTGTGGCGGCCGGGGCCGACGAATCGAGCAAGGACGCTGACAGGGTAGGCGAGGTCGGGACGAGTGCACATCATTGCGTACATCAGCGACCCAACAAGCTCGGCGTAGGGCCGGGAGGAGGTGGAGGGGGAGGTGGGTGGCGCAAGCTGGTGACCGAAGGGGAGGGGTGTGGAGACTGGTTTGGCTTGTGCCATCTCGAACTTTTCCAGGACCTGGCCGATGTAGTGGGACTGGGAGAGGGTGATGGTGCGGGCGGATCGATCACGAGTGATAGCCATGCCGAGGTAGTTCTGGAGGGGACCAAGGTCCTTGCACTTGAGACGTTCCTGAAGAGACCGTTTCACTTGATCCATGTCAGTCCTGGTGTCAGCGAGCAGGATCATGTCATCGACGTAGACCGAGATGAAAAAGCGACTGGGGGAAGAGCGGATGAAGAGGCTGGCGTCGGAGTGGGAGGGGGAGAAGCCAAGGGACTGGAGAGTAGCAGACAGCTTCGCATGCCATTCTCGTGGTGCCTGCTTCAGGCCGTAGACCGGTCGCTTCAGCTGCCAGACGGTGTTGTCGGGGAACGTAGCATGGAACCCGGGAGGGGGCGGCGGAGAAAGATGCGTTCGTGCAGTTCACCTTGCAGGAAAGCGTTGGAGACGTCCATGGAGTCAATCTCCATGTCGTCCCGCGCACCGATATCCATAAGGGTGCGTAGGGTGGCTTGCCTGAGGGTGGGGGCAAATGTGAACCAGTAGTCCTCAGCCCAGGTCTGGGTGAACCCCTTAGCAACATAGCGGGCTTTGTAGACTGGTTCCTCTCCCGGCAGCTGTTTGACTCGAAAGATCCACTTGCCCTCGACAAGGTTGGCGTCAGGGGGAAGGGGAACGTCGATAAAGGAGTCGTTGCGGATGAACGCCTCACATTCCAGGAAGATAGCGGCTATCCACTTGTCAGCGTCAGGGCAGGTGATAGCTTCCTGGAAGGTGGTGGGGACGAAGATGGTGGGAGCGGAGATCGCGCTAAGGAGTAGAGCGCCGAGGAGGTCGGGGTAGAGGGTGGAAAGAGAGGGAGTGTGGCGCTGGACCATGGCGAACTCCTCATGGGAGTCCTCGAGCTGGCTGAGGGAGGAAGGTGGCGGAGTGCCAAGGATGGGATCAAGAGAGCGGGTGTGCATGCGAGGGAGGAGGAAAGGAGAGGAGCGGGCAGTCGCCCTCCGCCGCTGTTGCTGCTGGTGCTGCTGGAACCCCTGCTGCTGCTGCGGCTGCTGCCCCTCCTGGTTCTGCTGCCCCTGCGGCTGCTGCTGCTGCTGCTGCTGCGGCTGCTGCTGCTGCCGCTGCTGCTGCTGGTGCCGCTGCTGCTGCTGCTGCTGCTGCTGCTGCCCCTGCGGCTGCTGCTGCTGCCCCTGTGGCTGCTGCTGCTGCTGCTGCTGCTGTTGCGGCTGCTGCTGCTGCCCCTGCGGCTGCTGCTGCTGCTGCTGCCCCTGCGGCTGCTGCTGTTGCTGCTGGGATGGATGAGAAGGAGAGTGGGAAGGAGAGGAGGGAGGGGGAGCTGCGGAGTGTGCAGGGGATGTTGGAGCAGTGGGATCGTAGATATCGGCAGATGAAGGTGGCGGAAGCGGGGTGGGGAGGGGTGGAAGAAGAGGTGCTGGAGGGAGGAGGGGAGGGAGGACAGTGTCGGTCCAAGCGAGAGGACGTGTAGGAGGAGGGAGGGGGTCTGGTGGTGGGGAGGAGCAGTATGGGGTGGTCTCATCGAACACAACGTCGATGCTGCGGATGAGGCGACCAGAGGGAGGGTGGAGGAAAAGGTAACCGGGCGAGTCGCGGTTGTGGCCAAGGTAGACACACTCGAGGGCACGAGGAGCGAGTTTGCCTTGGGTCCGTTCAGCTGGATGGATGAGCACATATGCCTTGCAACCCCAGACACGGAGTCCAGCGGCGTCAGGTTTGGACCCTGACCAGAGCTCCGTGGGGGTAGTGGCAGTGTGTTGGGGATGGGAGTGAAGGTTGAGGAGGAGGGAAGCATGAAGGAGGGCATAGCCCCAGAGAGAAGGGGGTGTGGAGGCGTGAGCGAGGAGACAGCGGGCGATCTTAGTGATTTCGCGGATGCGGCTTTCTGCGATGCCGTTCTGCTGTGGGGAGTGGGGAAGAGTGTGGGTCTGTTGGATGCCATGAGTGGTGCAGTAGTGAGAGAGAGTGCGATTGAGGAATTCGCCTCCCCCATCAGAGTGGAGGCGGCCGATGGGACGTTTGAAGTGGGTGCGGCATTGTTCTGCCCAGCGAATGATCATGGTCGGCGCCTGATCTTTTGTGTGGAGGAGGAAAACGGTGGAGTAGCGGCTATGATCGTCAACAAGAACCAGCATGTAGCGATGGCCTTGGCGTGAGCGGGTGGGAGAGGGCCCCCAGAGGTCCATATGGACGAGGTCAATTGGTGCAGGAGCAAAGGAGGGGTGGCTGTGATGAGGGGATTGTTTGAGTTTGCCGTGGATGCAGGAGGGGCATGGGGGGGCCGGGGAGGAGGGAAGGGGAGGAAGGGTGGGAGGGAGGCTGTGAAGAAGTCGTGAGGTGACGGCAGTGCGGAGAGCGGCGAAATTGGGATGGCCGAGTCGGTGATGTAGGAGAACAGCGGGGTGGGAGAGATGGTCGGAGGTGGAGGGGGCTGGAACGAGTGAGGGCGGGATGAAGGAGTGGGAGGATGGTGGAGTGGGAGGGGAGGGAGGGAGATGGGGAGGGCTAGTGGAGGTACCCGCACGAGTGGTGACATGACAGGAGGATGGCCACGGAGTGCGGAGAGTGTAGAGGCGAGTGCGGGGGCAGAGGGGTATGCGGAGGAGGAAGCGGCCGGAGGCAGTATGGTAAAGGTCACAGTAGGTGGCATTACCAGGATAGACCGCAGTGATACCTGCACCTTGGATTTCACGGTGGGAGAGGAGGTTGTTTCGGAGAGTGGGGATGTGGAGACCAGTTACCTTACCAGAGGGGAAGAGTGAGCAGGGGAGAGTGGAGAGGTGTGTGCATGGGATGGTGAAGCTGCTGTCAGCACCGTGAACTTGAGTGGGAGGGGAGAGGGGTGTGAGTGTACCAGCATCTTTGAGAGCAGTTTCAGTGGCCCCACTGTCTAGGACAAAGTCCAGAGTGGGCGAGGAGGAGGAAGACACGGAGTACTGGAACGTGGTTTCATTAATGTTGGATGGGTACATGGAAGGAAGAGAGGGTGAGACAGAAATGTTGCCAAGAAAGCTTTCCTGAGTGAGAGGGGTGGCAGTGCCACCGGGGGGAGGTGGAGCACCCCAAAGGGGAGCCGGGGAAGCCTGGGCGGCCATGGCTGCTGTGCCAAAGTTTAGCTGCTGCTGCTGCCAGGGAGGAGGGCTGGGTCCCCACTGGGGCTGGGGCCCTGATCCCCATGGGTGCTGCTGCTGCGGCTGTGGGTAAAACAGCTGCTGTAACTGCTGCTGCGGCTGCTGCTGCTGCTGCTGCTGCTGCTGTTGCTGCTGCTGCTGCTGCTGGAGGTTGAGGAAGGGCGCGGGGGGAGCAAGGAGGCGGAGGTGGGCGGGGAGATAAGCGGGGTTGGTTTGGATGTCAGTGGGGGAGGGACGTGGGGAAAGTGTTGCCCACTTGGGAGGATTGCCAACGTTGCCTCGTGCGTACCATGCATCATCGAGGATCTTGAAGCAGGTGGCAGGAGGGTGGTTGGTCTGTCCGCAGGGGGTGCCAGCCCGGGGACCATAGCGGCGGACATAGGTGCAGGGCGGAAGAGTACCAGGGCGGGTCCCACTGGTTGCAGATGCTCCGCCTGTATTTGGCGACGACGGCGAGGTGAGCGTTGCGGCCAGCAACCGCCTGGTCATAGGCTTCGACTGCTGCATCGTACTCTGCTTTCTTGATAAGGTACGCACGGCGGCGTAAGATGAAGTCTGCATCAGCGGCGGCTTGGTCGCCTGTGCTTTGGAGGTCGGGTTCAAGAGGAGGATCGCCGGGAGAGGGAGGGAGAGGAGGAGTCTCGCCTGGGTGTTCAGGTTCGGTGGGGGGGAGTGCCTGGGGACGGCGGAGGAGGACATCAAGGACACGGTAGGGGGGAACCCATGCGTCGGAGAGAACTCGTCGGATGCTGCCGACGAAGGAGTGCCAATTGACGGCGGATTTGTCTGCGGCAAGCTGCAGCTTATCAACGGAGGACGTATCAATAGGAGGGGGGGAGGGGGGCGGGGGAAGGTGCGGCGGTAGCCATGGAGGACGGCCGCAGGGAGACCCGCAGTGGTCACGGAGGAGAGGGAGGTGAGGCGGCGACGAAGCCGCAGAGGGGAGCGGCGCGGACGGCGGCGGCTGCTGGGGCCGCGGTGGCGTTGGCGCCGAGGCGGCGACGAGGCCGTGAGGGGAGCGGTGCTGGCAGTGGCGGCTGACGAGGCCGCGGCGGCGCTGGCGTGGAGGAGGCGTTGGGGCCGCGGAGAGGCGCAGGCGGCGGCGGCAGCTGGCGCAGCCGCGGCGGGACAAGCGCGGAGGCGGCGACGAGGCCGCGGGAGGGAGCGGCGCGGACGGCGGCGGCTGGCGAGGCCGCGGCAGTGCAGGCGCGGAAGCGGCGACGGGGTCGCGGGAGGGAGCGGCGCGAGCGGCGGCGGCTGGCGAGGCCGTGGCAGTGCAGGCGCGGAAGCGGCGACGGGGTCGCGGGAGGGAGCGGCGCGAGCGGCGGCGGCTGGCGAGGCCGCGGCGGTGCAGGCGCGGAAGCGGCGACAAGGCCGCGGGAGGGAGCGGCGCGAGCGGCGGCGGCTGGCGAAGCCGCGGCGGTGCAGGCGCGGAAGCGGCGACAAGGCCGCGGGAGGGAGCGGCGCGAGCGGCGGCGGCTGGCGAAGCCGCGGCAGTGGCGTTGGCGCGGAAGCGGCGACGGGGTCGCGGGAGGGAGCGGCGCGAGCGGCGGCGGCTGGCGAAGCCGCGGCAGTGCCGGCGCGGAAGCGGCGACGGGGTCGCGGGAGGGAGCGGCGCGAGCGGCGGCGGCTGGCGAAGCCGCGGGAGTGCAGGCGCGGAAGCGGCGACGGGGTCGCGGGAGGGAGCGGCGCGAGCGGCGGCGGCTGGCGAAGCCGCGGCAGTGCAGGCGCGGAGGTGGCGACGAGGCCGCGGAAGGGAGCGGCGGCGGCGACGGCGGCTGGTGGAGCCGCAGTGGCGTTGGCGCGGAGGCGGCGTCGAGGCCGCGGAATGGGGCGGGCGGTGGCGGTCGGCGGGACCGCGACAAGGCGAGCGCGGAAGCGGCGGTGGGGCCGGGGAAGGGAGCGGCGCAGGCCGTGACGGCGTGGGAGGCCGCGGGGCTGAGAGGGAGGGAGTGCTTGAGGAGAGGGGGAGGGAGGCGAGGTAGCCGCGGAAAGATGAGAAAGGAGGCCGGGGGTTGCGGCGGCCTTAAAAAAAAAACTAGGAGCGTAGGCCTAGGATTTTTAAGAGCTCTATACCATGTGAGAATAAGAGTTGGAAGAGAAGTTGTTGTTGAATTGAGGAGAATGGGGGTTTACATAGGGAATGGGTTGGATCCTAGCCTAGGTGACCATTATTGGACCCCACCCATGAAGTTGGGTTGGGGGATTATTGGTGGGGTCCAATAATGTTGGCCAAGTTGGGGTTGGGCCAACATTATTGGTGTGAACCAATAATTCTACCCAACCCAACCTTTGGGGTCCAATAATTGGACCAAGGTTGGGTTTCCAACCTACAAATTGGGTAACCCCTGCTTGAACACCCAAACTAAGTTTGGGTGCTTATCTCTAGCCTATCCTATAACATCTATGCAGGTTACAAGAGAAGATAGATTCTAACAAGTGGCATCCCCTCACCTATAACTGTTGAGTGGCATCCCCTCACCTATAACTGTTGAGTGGCATCCCCTCACCTATAACTGTTGAGTGGCATCCCCTCACCTATAACTGTTGACTGGCATCCCCTCACCTATAACTGTTGACTGGCATCCCCTCACCTATAACTGTTGAGTGGCATCCCCTCACCTATAACTGTTGAGTGGCATCCCCTCACCTATAACTGTTGAGTGGCATCCCCTCACCTATAACTGTTGAGTGGCATCCCCTCACCTATAACTGTTGACTGGCATCCCCTCACCTGTTTGTTGAGTGGCATCCCCTCACCTATAACTGTTGAGTGGCATCCCCTCACCTATAACTGTTGAGTGGCATCCCCTCACCTATAACTGTTGACTGGCATCCCCTCACCTATAACTGTTGAGTGGCATCCCCTCACCTATAACTGTTGAGTGGCATCCCCTCACCTAGAGTTGAGCAAATGCCCCGCTCGGGTCGGGCCGACCCGACCCGACCCGTGGTTTTGCCCGGGTCGGGTCAAGGTTTCTGAAACCCTGGCCCGTACGGGCCGACCCGACCCGACCCGCGGAGAAACCCGACCCGAGAGCCCATGTCGGGCCGGGGCGAGCCGGGTCTCGGGTCGGGCCCGACCCGACCCGATTTCGGGTTGGAAATGTCGAAACCGGGTCGGGCCAGGTGCGCGACCCGATTTCGACAGTGTTAGGGCCGAAACCCTAACACAAATGTAAATCGCGGGGATCTTTTCCCCGTCGATTTCATTTCGCCACGCCTGCAGCTGCTCCTAGCAGTGGACTTAGAGTAGTAGCTAGTTCGCCTTAAACTCACTCATAGCTTAAGATTCCCCACACAAATACTATTACTTGAAATAGTTGCCTAGATGTACGATTCTGGCTGCAAATAGTCCATTTCGCGCTTGTCAACAGAGTAATTTTTCAGCCACCTAGAATCAAGCGCAACCTCTAATAACCTTCCACCCCGCTACATCCGTGGCACACGCGCTGTAATCGACGAAAATCGCGGCACCCGCAGCACGATTTCACATAGGTTTACCCGCTGTCGATTTCACACCCCCAGTCCCCCCTAAAGGGGCGGGTCTACCTGGCCCAACCCGGCCCGACCCGAACCCGGGTCCCCGTTGACCCGAGTGAGTAGGCCCGGGTCGGGCCGGCAGTTTAAAGAATCTGGCCCGAGCCCGGCACGACCCGACCCGACCCGAGAGCCCGTGTGGCCCGGCCAAGTCGGGTCGGGTCGGGCCGGGTCGGGCCGGATGCTCAACTCTACCCTCACCTATAACTGTTGACTGGCATCCCCTCACCTATAACTGTTGAGTGGCATCCCCTCACCTATAACTGTTGAGTGGCATCCCCTCACCTATAACTGTTGAGTGGCATCCCCTCACCTATAACTGTTGAGTGGCATCCCCTCACCTATAACTGTTGACTGGCATCCCCTCACCTATAACTGTTGAGTGGCAT